GCCGTTCACCCCTGCTGTGTTCTTAGTGAGAACGAAGGTTTCCGAAAACATCTAAAATGGTTGAGGAAACATGCACATTTTAGGCACCAAAGTGTGGCTAAAATTTGAAGGCCCGAAATGACAAAAAATTGTTTTGCTTTTTTTTTTTGTGTGTGTTATTATGATTAATGCTCAACTGAATGGCATTGATTATATTTGTTGAATAGACAATTACAGAGGATTCTCCTGATTGGATATATATTATGTGATGAAAGAATGTCTATATCTGCAGCAAGCTGGGGTCTGTGCTCCAACGTGCCTTCTACGGGTCCAGTGGGAGGGTAAGTCCCTGTGTATTATTATTTCTTGGTCAAAGCACTAAACCTATTCTGGCAGATGCTCTCCACTGGAGATGCTATTACTGCTCTCTTTCAGTTGCTAAATTACCCTTAATCAAATTAAGAGAAACATGCTGTATAATGCTGCTTCTGATCAAGTGATGACATGACAGCCACCTTGACTGTTTTTATTTTCTTTCTAGGTGACCCTTTATGAGCAACGTAACTTTGCAGGCAGACATTTGGACCTGACTTCTGACTGTGCAAGGCTCAGTGACAAGAATTTCTCCGAGAGATGCAACTCTGTGCAGGTGGAGAGTGGAGCGTAAGTGCACACTGCAATTTACAGGTGAAAAGGGGACACTGCGCCACTCCGATGCATAGCTGCCCCAGTCAATGGTAATCGGTGCTAGGTTTGCTTTCTCCTCTAAATCCTGGTAATGAGAATTCAGATCTGTAAAAACACATACGATATGAAAAAAATAACAGCCATAAAATTAATCACATGGCACTTTTCAGCTAGCACAAAATAAATGCAGTATAAAGTAATGAACAAAACTATTGAGGATGAACGCAGAAATAGGCTTTTAGTTACGTAAATGAAATTAGCTGCAAACAAAGTACCCTTAATGTAATTTTTTTATCCCTCCAGATCTCACCCATCTTTTACACTTAAATTACAGTCCAGAACACCTCATTTGTCTATTTTGTAAAGAGTAATTCATAATTCACAATCATAGAAATGTGAAATGTATACCTACTGGATTTAGGCTGAAGCACTTTTGACCCCTGAGGAAGCGCCTTTGTTGCACTGAAAAGATATTGGGGGTGATTTATTCCTGTTTTTTTTTTTTTTTTTTTTTGGGGGGGGGGGTTTTTTTTTTTTTTTTTTGACTTTAAAAATTTTT